TTTTTCTTCTCCAAAACCTTAAAATTTACAGAAATGGAGCAAAATCTACCAGCTATTACAAAAAGAGTTTGGAACATAGTACGCACTGCGTTGTACATGTTAAGGAAAGGCATATCGAAGGGTAAACTAATGGCTGAACTCAACGTGATGTTCAAACGTTGGAAGATTGCTGGGAAAGCCTTACAAAATCTCATGTTCCACCATAGTCACCATTGGTCCACCGCCACCACCGGCCGCCGCGGCTCACCACTTGACTCACCAATTGAATATGAGTTTAGCTGCGGTAACAGTCCGGCTGGCCCTAATATCCAACTTCCCCTCCACCTCAACAAACGTAAACACAACCACCACCGTGCCCTCTTCTCGCCGGCAGCGAAGGAGGAGGATTATGCCACTATGAATGCGGTGGCAAGGACGCTGGAGATGCTTAATAGTGCGGCGGCTTCACCGGCTTTGCCTGGATTCGGAAAGAGCCCGATTGTTAGGCAGCTGAGGATAACAGATTCTCCATTTCCATTGAGAGATGCTGATGAAGATAATCAGGTAGATGAAGCTGCTGAGGAGTTCATAAAGAGGTTCTATAATGATTTGAGAAGGCAAAATGCATAAGCAGCTTCAGTTAGTCGGCACGTGAAATCTCATAAATGATAAACCACAACTGGACATATGCATGAAATTATTGGGTTCGGAGTTTCAATTATTTGAAGTGCAAAATTTTCATAAATAGTTACTGGACGAGTCATGTTACACGAAGTTCAGACCTTACATACGATGTTTTGGGAATTGTTACATGTGTTTGGTAGTGTTGAGGGCTTCATTAATGAGAGAGAGAGAGATTTTAAGGGACCAATAATGGTATATTATTTTTATGTCAATTTTACTTCATTATTTAAGGAAAATTATTGATGGAAGATTTCACATTTTAGACGAAAATCACTTTGCTCAATGTAAATCGAGTATTAATGATAAAATGACACCAAAACTAGCAAAAACTTCATTTAATTGCTGCGGAAGTAAATAAATAATAATGAACTACAAATACACTGTTGGGCCATGTGGTCGATCTCT